CGCCCCCCCCCCCCCCCTGTTTATCGTTCTGCCTGTGTTTCGGCCAGCGGATTAACCTCCATTATTTGTTCACTCGACACTTGCAAGCTTCACAGATGAGAGTTGGGCCCTTGCTTGCGCTGCTTCTGTCCGGACTGGGGTCCTACGTTTCCGCTTGGGAGACGACAAAGACAACAGTTTCGGACAAGGAAGCAGCAGCAGCTGAGAAGCGCGGCGATCGGCCCGACAGACCCACCAGACCCACCTACCTGCACCCGCGTGACAAGATGAATGGCCGAGGCCCGGTCGCGTCGACGCCGTTGGCGGGGGCCAAGCAGGACGTGACGGGCTCAAACGACCAGCATCTCAGCGAAGTCACTGAAGTGAGTTGTGGTTCATGGATGGCTGCTTTTTTCCTGAAGTAGACGCGCGCCTCAGAAGTTGGTGTTTTGAGAGCTTCAAGAAGCGTCTTCTTGGTGGAAAAGAGCTGTGCGGATGTTGATCTTTGGGTCGTGCGTGATGTATGAGGTGTTTTCCCACGTAGACAGCTGAAAAGTATATGCACGGTAACACCTTGTTGTGGAAATGGCAAGATATTTGGCGAGGTGAGTCGAGGCAAAGGCTGTTCAGAATGACCGTCCAGCAAGAAACTACCTTGGTCGGAGTTTTTTTTTTTTCCATACCGCCGAGAAATGTCGTGCAAGCTACATTGTTCGAGGTTCATGGCCGTACTCTGCTGGCGTGCATACGAAACCAAGAGGAGAGCTCTGGTCCGCGTTGTTCGCATTGTTCACGGCAACGTGAGCGGTCACTAGAAAGCGAGTCGCACTCTGCTTACCCTACCATGTATGGCGCAAACGCTTACCGACACGTCGGGATACTCCCCCATCCACCAGCCATTTTCAATCTGAGCCCTTGCTGTCTGGTTTCCTAGTACATACCTCGTCCCTACCAATCCCCGCTACCTCCTCCCACCATTGCTAACTCCGCCACCCTCGGGTGTGGTGTCCTTGTGTGGTGTATTTCGCTCTGTGGCAGTTCGCAGCGGAATACCTCACGGAGCAGAACTCAGAACTCACCTACATCCAGGTCAAGGCCGAAGTTCAAGTGGTCGCGGGCATGATGTACACGTTGCGCTACCGAGGAAATGACGCCGCTGGCGAGTGTCTGGTGAGAAACCCGTCTCTTTGTTGTCTGTTTCTCACCAAGCGACGTTGTATAGACGTTTGGCCGGCCGTGCTCTCTATCTCGAGCGGGTATCTGGCTACGTTAGCGCCCCCGGCCGTGCGCGCGGGCACACAGGTGCCGTGTGCTCGCGTCGTCCACGCGAATTTATTTTCCTGTTGCTTGTGGGCGATGTTGAACTCGCTTGCGGTGGAACTCGCTTGCGGTGGAACTCGCTTGCGGTGGAACTCGCTTGCGGTGGTTTACTGGTTTCGATAAGTTTGCTTTCACAAGCGGCGAGAATGGGGTGTCTTAGGTGGACGTGTTTCGACTCGTATGTGTGTTCCGGTGTTTCTCGATTACCATACACCGCTTGCTTGTACCGTACGTTCGGCGTTCGTTAGAAGGGCGTCTGACAAGTACGCGCCCACCAGAAACCCTTCGGATTTGCGGCGCGCCTCCGAGTGACAGATCATGTTCGGTTTGTCGGCGTGACCGCATTCACCGATGTATCGCTTTCCTCTAGGCTGAAGCCGCCGCCGCCGCCGCCGCTGCTCTTGATCCTTAATGTCGCAGGAGGAACGCACCCTCGTTGTTTACGACAAGCCATGGCTGGATGAGCGCACCCTAAAGAGTGACACCGTCACAGAGTGTACCTAAGGCCTTGCTGCTCCCTTGCTGCATTCAATCACAGCAGCAGCGACAGCAGCATCAGCGATCACCCCTCCCCCCCCCCCCCCCCCCCGGTTAAATTAGCTACGGTGCAAGGGATGATTGCACCTTCCCCCATCTCCTTTCTTGGATACAGAATGCCATCAGTGTTGTCTAGCCAGAGAAGTTGCATGGGACGAAGCCGTGGTGTCAACCACCCCGCAGTGATTTTGGCATTGAGTTGAGCATTATCGGCTCGCGCCCCTGATGGCCTTGATACCTCATACACAGGCACCACATGGGCACCATCTACCGACCTACAGGCCGAGAGCAGTAAACGAGCTGTAAAATATCTAGCCTTCGGTTGGCGCACTCCCTTCCGAGACCCGTGCCACGCCCGAAACCGTCGCCATTTCCAGCGAGCGGCATCGTCGGCGGCACGGCGGGCGGCGACCGGGACTACCGCTTGGCCAGAAAAAAAGAAAAAAAATATATATATATATATCCCCGACAGAACATGAGAGAAAAGCGAACGACACAGACTACCAAAACAGAACGGGGGGAGCGGGGGAGGGGTGTACTCATAGTCGTGCATCCCGTAGTCGTTAGACCATTGACCTCGCATCCCTACAAAGCCGGGACGGAGCACGCCGGGTTCTCACCGGACCAGGCTCTCACATCACCAAGCGCGAAGCGCGGTGAGGTATTCGGCGAGTCGCATGAAGGGTGCGCTGCATCCTGCTAAGGGTGTTCGGCATCTTGTGCTTACTTCCTTGCGTACGGATGACAGCTGCGTATGACTACAATTTATTTTCTGGTACTTTCACTTCCAGAGACAGTTGTAAGCACTGTGTAACTGCCTCGAGGGTGCTTGACCAATTTAACACAACGTGTCATTATCCCCTTTGGGGGGGGGGGGGGGGGGGAGGCATGTATGCCCCAGTGACAAACCCCCCTGTGCCGGGAAGAGGTAAAACCCGACGTGGAACAGAGCGGTTTTGGGGGGATGCAACATGGTGCTAAAGTTCGCGCATATCCCCTTTTCCAAGAGGCAAAGGGCGTGCGCGCGCGCCCAAGACGAGCCAAGTTTGGATGTGTGCGTACCAGGAGGGGGGGGGGGGGCGTACTCATGCCTTAGCGGTTAGACAGTTGACCACGCATCCTCGAGAGGACGGAGCAGAAGGGGAAGGGGGGTTGTG